TAAACAACTTGATCCGAAAATGAAATGAGGTTTTACAACCATTTTCATATCGAGAAGCACAAGCACTGTGCACCTATTTTCGATTCAGCTGTACTCGTCTTTTCCCCTTGTGATAAGAAGTTCATGAGAAAGAGTGGTTTAAGTTCTTTTGCAAATCAAATCTACCATCCAATCAACTGCAATTAGCTAGGGATAAGTTTTGGGCCCTCTCACATTCCCCTGTCTAGCACTAATTTGGAGCTTGTACTCTGTTTTCCCAATTTGGAAGAGATAAGGCATTGCAATCAAAAGATCGAAAAAAAAAAAGACGAGGACTCCTTCGAAATTTTTCGATTGAAGAAATATTATACGAACGTGTATTAAGATTATGAATAAAAATGTGAATTTTGAGAATTTATTATTTAGCAAACATAAAAAAACGTATAAATTATGCATTAAATTAACTATGGATACTAAAATCCTTCCAAAAAATGTGAGATTAAGTAAACATCGTGTATTTTGCAATCAAATTAACTAAAAAGCGTTATACTATATACATGATACCTAAATGCTTAGAAATACATCTTTTTAAATCGAAGGTTTTAAAACGAGACCTAAATGGTTAGAAAGATCTGAAGAGTGGGGCCCGTTGGTTCGTTCTGCACCATTCACACTTATCGATGGAATGGAATGGAACCTCCTGGAGAGGAAGGAAATCATGATTAGCAATGGACCCAAACTGTCTAACTGTAACTGTTGAGTCCATGTCGGCAATTACTTGCATATGAGTTTTGATAATGATCCTCAAAGAATATCCCAAACTTGGAATCTGCAGATTGTAGATTTGAATTTTTTAGTGGCACCAGTATAAAACAACTATAAATTATTCGTAAGGATATTACTTTGTTTCAGGTTCGAATTCAAGCGAGACCCGTTGGTGTTCTCGGAAGTATAAGACTGCTGAGAGTAAAGTTTCGTTGGCACCGAATTGAATGTAGGTGGCCCCCAGGTTTAGCAGGCCCCGCTGTCACAAAATGGCCCGTGAAGCTGAGGTTAATCATCGGCAGCTCAATAAGTATTGACCGTCGTTTTACATTTCATTCTTGTAACCTTCTTATCGATTTACAATCTATCTACGGAGAAAAAAAAAAAGATCTTGAGCGAGATCTATGGCCTGAATGTTCAGGTATGCTTCATAAGCTTTTTGGTCTACTTACTGTTATTTTTTGTGTGATTTTTTTATATGTTTTATGGTATGTCTTCTGTGGTATTCTTCATGATACTTGTGGTGAGAACGGGTTGCGAAATAAAAGAGTGGTCCCACATGTTTGGGCCCCTATAATTTTTAAGGGTAATGACTATTTATTAGCCAAATCTTTTTTTAATTCTTTTTTATTAGCCAAACCTATCGGAATATTAAAAAATAGTCAAACGCTTTGTAATGTATCCAAATATTAGCCATTTTTACGTTATCGTCAATAATTTTGTAACTCTTTTCTTAGTTCAAATACTAAAATTTTGGAATGTTAGCCTCTATGTATCTCTTCCAAGTCAGTATCATGTTGACAAGTCAATATTGCTAACAAAATTGCTAAGTGAAAATTAACATTTGGCTAATTATTAATAATTCAATAAGTTTGGCTAATAAAAAAAAATCTGAAAAAGATTTGGCTAATAAATAGTCATTACCCAATTTTTAAATACGACACGCACACCCTTCTCTTTAAAAAAAATCGACATTAACTGTGGCCAATCCCTTAAAGATAAAAATCCATCAAAACAAAATGTTCGTATGAAATGGAGCTAGTGTTAGAATGCTTACAAATTGGTGTTAGCCTCAGGCGAATAATTTTTAGTAGGTACGGGTAAAAGCCGAATCCGAATATTGTGGGTAATGGGTGGGCTTGGTTTTCTCACTATCCAACCTGAATCCGCCCGATTATACATATACATATGTATTTTGTCTAGAAATGATCATTATTTTTCTCTGCCATATTTTATCTTTAGCATACAAATGAAATATTTTCCATGAAATTGTGTTGTTTTAGTTAATTTTCTTCATTTTGTGATTTAATTTCGTACTTATGTAATGTGATTATACGTGTGAATGTCAACATATTTGTTGGAGTTATAAAGAGAAATTATTATCAATGGATAACTGTGAATACCCGAAATCCAGACGAGTATGAACACGATTTTAATTTTCTATCTAAAACCCAAACCACACTGAATAGGGTTAATAGATATGCACTATCCACCACAAACCATTGTCATTCCTAGAAACTACATTTTAGCTTGAGTATCATAGAGTTTTTTTTTCTTTCGTTATTAGGATATTTATTGGGAACACGATTGAGATGGGTTTGTGTATCTCACATAATAATTCACAAATGCACATATAAAAATCTCGACTTTACAAATAAAAATCTCAATTGAATGATGTATCCCCAGTCCCCACCTTGTATTTCCAAACTAGCAGTTCTAAAAGAGCCGGGCCAGCAAAACAGTTCCATACATCCATAGAACAGTTCCATAAATGGCGAGAAAAGAAAAGAAAAAAAAAAATGCTCGTGGCCCATAGTATCAATCATGACTTCACAGAAATTTTACTTGGACCGATCACCTTCCATTAAGGGCAAGAAAAACCGATACATAATCATGACTTCCTTGGAATTTCTCTTCCAAGTAAGGTAACCCAATAGAAAGTCGAGATCGTGTTGAATATAATTCTAACCATTCTCAGACACTCGAAGTCGAAGGTGACCAAAAAAGTATGCACCAAACCACATATTTGCAGTGGGAGAAGATGCGATTAGTGAGATCACTCAAGTACAACGTTGCCTCAGCTTTATCATGTAGATAGAATATGAGTAGTTTATGTCACCACTCACCACCACTTGTAAGAAAGTGGTTATGATTTTTTTTTTGCAAAAGTTATCCTGAGAGGGAAGCAGCAAATATACGACAAAATACAAGGCCTCCTAAGACCAGGCTAGGAAAATAAAACACGATGGTCGACAAGTGTCTGCACCATCGCTCCAAGGGCTTGTCTTGCCACGATATGGGCAGCCCTATTATACCTACGGGGAGTGAAATGGAACGTTGCACGAATGAAAGAAGCCCGCAACACCCGAATCTCTTGCAGGAGAGCTCCGCCCACCGCGTGCGCCGAGTCCTTTGCATTAATCATCCGAACGGTCACCTGCGCATCCCCACAAAACAAAACATTAGTGATCGAGTGAGCCATGCACCAACGTAAGGAGTCGCGAAGGGCCAGGAGCTCTGCGAGAAATGGGTCATCAATATTAGGAATAAAACGACCCCAAGCAAATATAGAGTTATTAGCCTATGCAAAGCCAACAAAACCAATGGCATATCCGACCAAAGATTTGGTGGCACCATCAAAGTGAACCAACACTGAAGGAGGGGGGTGATCACGAGGTAAAACCCCACTAGAAACACGAGAACAGCGAGGCAAAAATCTCTCCGGATGAGCCTGTGCTAGCTCCCATTCAGCAACCTGAGAGTAATAATGTCATGATAAAACATGAGAGAGATACTGAATACCATCATAAGTAGCCGAACATCTGGACTTCCAGAGCCTCCAGTACAGAAAAACCAACAGTGAAATCTCTACTTTGGATAAACCTGCATAAAAAAATAGCCTACGCCAACCTATCGCAATATGGCACAAGCGAATTTGAGCAAGAATATGATTGTACCCCAACAAATCCCACAACTCCAACGCAATCCGACAATCCAAAAAACAATGAGCAAGAGTCTCTGCCTCAACACCACAGACAGGGCAAGCGTAAGCGTCAATATCATCATCAGCTATCAATTCCTTATCACGTAGCACATCTCGAACAGGGAGAAAACCTTTAACCACGTGACAAAAAAAAAGCTTTGGGGGAACAGGAAGTGACCAAAGAAACTTCCAAGAGCGGGAGTCAAAGAACGGTGGAACCGTGGAAAAATCAACAATGTACTCAGCCGCAGCTATACGATAACCAGATTTCACAGAAAATTCACCTGAAACTTCATAATGCCAAATCAAGCGATCAGCCACAGGAAAAATCGGCAGAGGAATAGCCATGATGATCTGGACAGTGGCAGTATCAAAGAGATATGAAAGAACGTTCTCCTTCCAAGAACCTTGACCATGATTTATTAGGCATGAAACAAATGAGTCAGGTAAGACAACCCCAGGAAGCAGAATCGGCCTAGAAGGAGGGGTGGTGGGAAGCCAAACATCATTCGTAATGTGAACCGAAATTCCACAACCAATTAACGAACGAAGACCTTTGACCAAAAGATCCCTGCCCAAAAGAACACCCTGCCATGACCATGAAGGGCGCGTACCAGCAGTAGCATGAAGAAAAGAGGAGTTGGGAAAATACCTGCCTTTGTATGTGGTAGCTAAGAGGCTATCTGGATCCTGGACGATCCTCCAGGCTTGTTTGGCAAGCAATGCAATGTTATTGGAGTCTAAATCACGAAAGCCAAGACCCACATTGTTTGGCAAGCAATGTTCACGTGTCTCAAATGTTTTCTTTTCCTTATAACTCCTTTGCAGAGCTCTCCTTCCAGAAAAGATCCTCATAGTTTGTAGTTGTAGATGTAGTCTTGGAGCTTTCCACAAGAATCTCCATAAAAGTAATCGTAACGTAGATTCCCCAAAAACTCAAAAGTCTCATTCGAACATTGTTCGAAAGATGTGCGAAAAATATTATCACAGAAAAATTTTACACCACGAAACACTATTGATTCAATTTTTAGCATTGCCCATTAATTTTGATAATATATAGCTAGCTAGGAAGATTGAGTGTGAGAAAAAAAAAATGTCGCTTATTGAAATACTTAGAATCTTTTGAGAAAGTATATATAGTGACAACTATTAAATCATAACACCAATTTGCGTTTATTTAACCATCTATTAAAGTCAAATCTCTAAATCAATCGAGGTGACCAAAACAAAACAGGAGGAGGATGATATAAATTGTAGAAATTGTAATAATTGTTTCCGTGTTGGGTCAGGGCCCAGAGTCAGAACACCATACGATACGAGCCAATCTCACCAGGAAAAAGCCTGCAATGACTCAGTGGATAGTCATTAGAAAACAAACGAATTGTTGGGCCTAAAGGAGATTCCAATCGGCTCAAATAAGCTGGATAAAATCGCATATTATAATCAGCGAAAATGAGAAAAATTTCCCCAAATTGATTAATTAATTGAGGGAAAAAAAATGATTTGTTCTTCCGCCTTGAACGTCCCCAACCTCCGGCAACCGCCGTCCTCCTCCTCCGGCGCCGAACCAAATCCCAACCGCTCTGCCGCTTCCGTACCTAACTCTCTACCTCTTCCCGCCACTGGTTCCCTCCCTGAATCTGACTCCAACTCCCTGTCCAGAAAACTCCGTGGCAGTGCTCAGCTCAACCGCTGGTCTCGGGCTCGAGCAATTCGTTCCGGCCGCAAATTGGAACGGCCGGGCCATCGAGCTCAGGTCCTCGACCGAGTCGACTCATCCGATCAGCTCAACGACCAAGAATCACTCGAATTCGGCGCCGAGAGGAAGAAGAACAGAGGAGAAGATGATGACAACTACGACGAGGTCGCCACCGGGAAATCGATTTACATGGTCTCTGATGGAACTGGTTGGACAGCGGAGCACTCCGTCAATACCGCGCTTGGCCAGTTCGAGTACTGCTTGGTCGATCGTGCCTGTTCCGTCAATACTCATCTCTTCTCCGGGGTAATTGAATCTTCCATCATGAGTCAAAGTTAGGTTTCCGCGAAATTTTCAATTGTTTTCGGTTTGGGATTCGCGGCAGATAGACGATGTGGATCGGCTGATGGAGATCGTGAAGCAAGCAGCGAAAGAAGGCGCGCTAGTGATCTACACTCTAGCAGATCCATCCATGGCGGAATCGGTAAGAAAAGCCTGCGAGATTTGGGGGATTCCTTCAACGGACATCTTGGGCCCAATCACGGAGGCGATCTCTTCTCACATCGGCGTCTCTCCGTCGGGAATTCCACGTGGAGCCGCTGGGGGGAACGTTCCTTTGTCGGAGGAATACTTCCAGCGGATTGAGGCCGTGGAATTCACCATCAAGCAAGACGACGGGAATCTTCCAAAGAACTTGAGGAAAGCCGATATAGTCCTCGTCGGGGTTTCCCGTACGGGGAAAACTCCACTGTCGATATACTTGGCTCAGAAAGGTTACAAAGTAGCTAATGTACCCATCGTTAATGGGGTTGATTTGCCTAGGACCTTGTTTGAAGTGGATCCCGAGAAGGTGTTTGCGCTGACGATTAACCAGCATGTTCTGCAAGCGATTCGCAGAGCTAGAGCGAAGACTCTGGGATTTAGCGACGAATCGAGGAGTAATTATGCCGAGATGGATCATGTGAGGGAGGAATTGGAGTATGCTGGCAAGGTTTTTGGTCAGAATCCTGCTTGGCCAGTGATTGGTAAATTTAGATAATGTGATTTGGGGAACTTTAGTGCAATATATTACTGTTTGATTGTTCATCTTCTGATAATATGGTCTTGATTTGAAAATGCAGAAGTGACAGAGAGGGCAATTGAAGAAACTGCTGCTGTTGTTTTGAGGCTCTACCATGACAGGAAGAACAGATGCTTGATGCCGAGGATTTCCAAGCGTTACTAGGGTTCAGAGTTTGGTCACTTCCTCGTTCATACAATGTTTACTTTACAGAAGAAAGTTAGTTGCTTGGCCTGTGAATGAATATATGAAAGACCATTCTGCTCATAGAAATAATATGATGGCTCTTTGTGGTACCTTCATTCCCTTGGTCTGACTACTGCAACTAACAACTAGCTACATTGCCCACTTCTTCTAGCTTCCCTGCCAAGCTCTAGGCGTTTAATATCGTGAATACTGAATCGCAACTAGGATCGGAGTTCGCCTCACTCCACAGTAAACAGCCACATACACTCATATATATTCATACAATGTTACATTGGATGGAAGAAAGTTAGATCCTTGGCTTGTGAGTGGAAGTATGAAGGCTATTTCAGTCCTGATAGAAGGAACTGGTTTATTTGGTTTGCCTCATACATATCCAGTGACTGGAAGGTGAGCATTTCTCGAGATGCACGAATTTGGTTCTCCATTACTCTTCTACTTCTAGTTAGATATTGAAATGTGTATGTGTGCAAGTCTTGCCTGAACGTGATAGCTCTTATGTTTCCCGTGTTTCCTTAGTTGAGACTACTTGCCTTCTTCTTCTTCCAGCTTCACTGCCACAGCTTTCGGCAATTGAAGGAAACTGCAGCTGTCGTCTTAAAGGCCTTTTAGCATGTCAGGATGAACATTCGTTTCAATGGCCCGAATTCCGAAAACTTACTAGGGTTCCAACATTCTCCTCACTTCCCACTACACAGCCAGGCGCAAATGCTACTTTCCATTCCCACTTGCAGAATAAATTTAGTTGCTTTGCCTAACAAATCGATTGCAGGGTGAAAGTGGTTCCTCGAGATACGAATCTGATACTCCATTCCTCTTACCATTTCTGGCCTGAACTTGAAATCTGTGTTTCCACATTTTTGCTTTGAATATGATAGCTCTTTCTGCTTTCCTTTTGTTTCCTTAGTTGAAGACTACTACTGCAACTTGGCACATGCCACCACTTCTTCTTACCTTATTAGCTTCATAGCCAAGCTGTTAGGCATTCATATGATAACATCTATTGTTCGGCTTCTCTTGGTAGCTCTGAACTCCCCCACTATCTGCATTCATACCTTATCAGTGTTCGCATGCCTATGCTCATTTTCAATTGCATTTTTCACTTTTGTATAGCTTTAATGGTATGGCAATGGCCGGTGGCACTAGTAATAGTGGTCATAATATTCTCTGCATTCCCTTTTTTTTTTGCTTTCATGTACAAACAAAAAGCAAGGGCAAAAGGCAAAAGCAATCACTCAGTGGGGATTGCCAAAAGGAAGCCATTACAGAATCCAGGAGGTTTCCAAAGGATGGGGCTGGTTAGAGACTTGAAAGAGGGGTTAAACTAAGAGAGACCCAAAAGGTAAGTAACTAGGAGCTTTCCAACCATGTTTGCACGATCTTTCATTTTCTCATATATTTATTTAACAAAGAAGATTCCTATTCCTTTGCTCCTTTCTAATCATACTTCATCACCATGTCCTTTTGTCTTCATCTCTGTTCATAATGTTTCTGTGCAGCAGCCTCCATGAACAATGCACGACCTTCAACTGGATTTCGTAATGGGGAAATCGTCGATTCAAGCGTTCTACTGGTTGTTTACCACGTTCTTATCTCTTATGTACATCGAAGAAGTCATTCGAGGGCAGCACCGTCTTCTGACTGGACCGAGGCGATTGACAGTGTGAAGTATATCAGCAACAGCGTCCCTAGGCTTGATCTGGATCAGAAGTGTCATCAGTAACTTCGTCCATTGTTAAGCACAGAGAGATAGAGAGCCGGGAACTTACAAGGTGGCAAAGAAGAAGAGGACTTTTCTGGGATCGAGCAGCCATGAACTCTGATGCCGCTTGAAGCTGTTCCTTCTCGACGGGGATCTTCCTTCGACTGCGGTGGTGGCTTTGATGCTGCCGGCGGCAGAAGTAATAGTGATCTGATGATGCCCTTGTCCCTCCACCGTTCCCTTTTCCGGCGTGCTACTCCCTAACAGCAAACCTCTTTCTCCTCCTCCTCCTACCCCTGGGCCAGCTGTGTTAATATTCAATGATAACAACAGACCCCATTTCAGAATCTCAGTGGTGAAACTATAAACAGGAACTGAAGAGTGAAAGCAAAATGGATTGGTTCTCTGTATCATCCATCCACCAATCTTGTCTGGTAAAAAACTAGAGTGAGCATGGTTCAGCTTTGTCCATAAACTAATGAATCGACATAAGGCCGGATTGAAACTAAAGAGAAAAACGAGGATCGGAATCAGACTGAAACCCACATTAGGTATGATGCGATAGTCGAATCGAAATGAAACGGCTGCAACAAGTCGATTCGATCTTGGACGAACTGAGTCATTGCTCACCCTTATCTTGTTCAATTGAGTTAGGCGTTAATCTTGGAAGAAGGGCGTCCATAGAACAAGAATGAGAGTCTCTCTCACTCAGGGAAGGGCTTTGGTTTCTTGTTCAGAAATTTGTCTGGCTTTGGCAATCAAGCATATGATTCTCAGTTGTTTGGTAGCGTAGTTTTGTTGTTCTTCTTCTTCTTCTTCCATCTCCATCAACCCTCCCGCCGTCTCTTTCAAGCTTATAATGGAACCAAATCACACAGCCCATACCCCTTTACATTACTGAAGAAGCTAACGCTCTAATTCTATCCTTTCTTTCACTCTTGTCCTCTACTGTTGAACCGTCTAAATTTCCTCGCAGTCCCTTTCCTGAATTTCTCTGATACTGACTCCAGTGTTCTTTCCTCTTAACCCAGAAACAAAAGATTTGTGAAAAAAAAGAGAGAGGAAGAGTTACCTCCTGGCGAAGACGCCGCTGTAGCTGCAGATTCCCTTTCTTTTGAAACAGAGCCATTGGAATTGACTTTCTTCTCGCTGCCTCCATAGCTGCCGGCGCCGGCACGAAAGGACCCTTTTCTGGAAAAGCCCCTCTGCAACTTTTTTGAGAGAGAAAGGAATGTTTCAGACAATAATGGCGGGCGGAAATCCATTAAAAAATTGAACCAAAAAGGTAGCAACTTTACAGGAAAAGAAAAACAGGGGAAATGAAGAAAAAACAGAGGCGAACTAGAATTGATTTCTTACTGTGATTCTGGGATTGGAATAGCTTTCTTCCATGTTGATAACGAAGTTATCGGATCTTTCGGGAGAGTATTGAAATCCGTTGATGTGATCAACAACTGAGATTTTCTGGGCGGTGGTGGTGGTCGTCACCATATTTTCCTGCAGTCCAATCAAATCCTAAACCCCAACAGAAAATTGAAAAATTCCCAGGTAAGTAGTAACCTCCCAACGAAGCAGAAGAACAAGAATCAATTCGTTGAGAAACATATGGGGAAATGAACAGTGAAGACGACTCCATCGTTTTCCAAAAAGAAAGAAAATGAAAATTCCGGAACCCCGAACAAGAAGACAACATTGGAACAGTTCGGCGAGACAAACGGCAGAAACAGAAACAGAGTAACGGGAGAAAACAGAGTCTTATAAGTAAACAAAAACCACTTTACGCAGGAATCAATGTACTCACCATCTTAGGATTGTCCGCAATTTCCATCACTTTCTCGGGAAAGTAAACGATGCCCCTCGACGTAGAGAGAAAGCAGAGAGCGAGAGTGGAAAAAAAAAAAAAAAAAAAAATCAAACCGCCTGCTTCAAAGCTCCAGTCTTTTCTACCACTCCTTTTTGCCGCTTCTTCTGATACCGCAAGAAGAAAAACTAATGCAACCATTCAATGGGGAAAATGGGTAGAAATTGAGAATTGAAGTGATACCCACCTTTGATTCCGCAATGGAGCTTTCTGGATTACTTCAAAAATCTCTCGACGAACCCTTCATGAATTGGGAAGAGAGTAACCAAGCTGGTGTCTTTTCCGCAGGAGGAACGGACTGTGTCAGTAACCGCCCCCTGTCCTTGTCGTGTTGCTGCAGCAGCTGCTGCTTCTGCTTAATTTCTTGGAAGGAAGAGGAAGAAGGAAGAAGATGGGATGGGGTTTAACGTTAGGAAATAGGGAAGGATTTTGTTTGTCGAAGAAACAAAAATGAATTCTAATTTCCAGAATTCAGACTGCCAGATGTGAAATGGGAGAGATACTGATACAGATACTCCTCTGGTAGTGCTGCTGGTGGTGTTTGGCATTTATATATGGCTGAGTTGTTGGGTGGTTTATGAGATGTTTGATTGCAATTGGTGTTCACGTGCTGAATGAGTTGTTTTTATCTGGAAAAATATTTAATTAGGTTTAGTTGAATTGCTTATGATTCAAACAAAAAGGGGTTAGTGAATGAATTGGTTGAATGATTGTTATAATTTAAATGAAGAGGGGGAGGGTGAAGTGTCAATTTCATTCACTTCCGTTGTCTGTTGGAGGTTTAAAATGTTTTTATTGCTCATATACACCATCAGTTTTCTCAAGTTCGAAAAGGCTAGATTAAATCTGCGCTTTGATGCGTCTAGATGTTTGGCAACACCAAAAACACTCCACCTAGCAGTTTCTCAGGAAGTTAGTCAACTGTCCAGGTCACTGCCATGTCACCAAAAAAAATTTATAATTTCATTTTTCTTTTTATTTCCTTTACAAAATTGAATAATAAAGAAAAAAAAAACTTTTGGCGGCGGCGGAGACGGGCCTCGGATGCGGTGGTTCTTCGTCGAATGTCATCCCGCTGCTGGAGCAGGTTTACACAAAGTACCTGACTCGTTTGGGCGTGGGCTCGATTCGCTTCCTTCCCAAGTCGGAGCCAAGAAATTCTCCTACCGTTTGGTCTCCCACAGCTTCGACGACGCGCCCGTTTCCAGCGATTTGGTTCTGGATCTGGATTCTGGATCTGGGAAGAAGACGGCGGAGGTTAGCTACACGCCCTTCAGAAAAAATCCCGTGACTTCCAATTCCGCTTTGCAGACCTATTACTACGTCAATCTCCGGCAAATTGTCGTCGAGGGGAAGCACGTGAAGGTCCCGTCGGAGTATCTGGAGCCCGGTTCCGACGGAAACGGTGGCACGATTGTGAACTCGGGGACGACTTTTACCTACATGGAGCGGCCAGTTTTCGAGGCGGTGGTGAAGGAGATTGGGAAGAGGATGGCGAATTTCACGGTGGCGACGGAGATTCATGATCTTACTGGGTTGAGGCCCTGTTACAATGTTTCCGGCCAGGACACGGTGTCGGTCCCCGAATTGAGCTTCAAATTCAAGGGCGGGGCCGAGATGAAGCTCCCCGTGACGAATTACTTTGTGCTTGCCGGCGATGGGGCCATTTGTTTCTCTTCTCTCGTTTGGATTTGGGTTGTCAACGGCAGGTTTACACAAAGTACCTGACTCGTTTGTCTGTTAACTGTTCGACGAAAAGTCTGAGAGAGAAGGGGGGAAAAGAGAAGCAGGGGAAGAAGGAATTTATGTAGAGGAGATGAAGAAATGGGAGCCGTTTTTGGATAGAAAGGAAGAAGGGAGCTCGATTTCATTTGGGATATGGAGGCGGTGGGTCGTCGGGGAAGAAGGGAGTTGTTTCGGATATGGAGGCGGCGGGTTCGTCGGGGAAGAAGGGATTTGTTTTCATTTGGGATTTGGAGGCGGCGACTCGTCGGGGAAGAAGGAGGAAGAAGAATAATGGAAGATAGGGTTTGTTTGGGTTTGATCGAAAAAGAAAGAAGGTGAGGAGATAAGGTGAGTATGAGTGGCCAAAAGTTATTGTTTTTTTTTCTTTATTATTCAATTTTGTAAAGGAAATAAAAATAAAAATGAAATTATAATTTTTTTTTGTGACATGGCAGTGACCTGGACAGTTGACTAACAGTCAACGGTGTTGACCGTCCAAACAAACGGTCAAACCACGCTCCAGGCCAATTCTGTCTATATGCTGCATAGTTCGGGCCAGAATGTTAATTTCTCAAACCACGGGCCAAAGTTGATTACATGGTCATAGTTCAGGCCATAATAAGGTATTAACCCATATAAAAATGGGAAAACAATTATCATCTACAAACTCAATCTTTTCAATAAATTAAGAATTTTGCGAGCTATTGAGTTATTATTCAATGATTATATGGGCTATTATTTTTTTTCTTGTTGACCGTTAAGTTTTTTTTTTTTGTCATAATATGAGCAACTCTTCTTTACCCTATTGAGGGGTGAGTCCCTTTGTTAGGGAAAAGTCATGGTCGAACTCCTTTGTAAAATGAGTAGTGCAACCAATCTTCGTGTTTTTTCCAAGAGAATGGATGATCAAAGAAGTTTTTTTTCATCCTAAATAGTAGAATATAGAAATTAAAAAGCTAATACTACTATAACGCACGAACTATCAACAAAATGACAATTGTGTTCTATTTTATTCTATAAAATAGGACACCATAGGATTGAAATATTAAATAAAATACGATACAAGTTATATTTTCTTTATAGTAATAGTGTGATAGTGGTATTAGCCCAAAATTAAGCTAGAACATACATTGCATCAGCCTATCACTTGAATACTTGATCCATCCTTCCTGTTATTCCTCTTCAAAATTTTGGGGATATGGCCGGAATTCTATTTTTAATTTAGAGGAGGCCAAGAAATAATTCACAGGCAGACAAGGTGGGGCAGTAGTACAATAATAAAATGGATAAAGAAACATTGCAGGTTGTTACATGAAATGTCTTAATTTAGAGTAATCATTCTTTCAAAAATTTCCCTCCCTACCAATTTTGTATTTTGTATTGTCTGTTTGTTGGTATAAATGGTAATAACATATTCTTGTTAATTGGAATAAATTGTTGGATTTTTGTTGGGCAAAATTCCCAAATTCAATATATGAATAGGATTATTTCAGTGCAAATGAAGTATCAAATCTGGATACTTTCAACCTCCAAATGATTCAACCGAAAGACATATAATTCCTCATTGTTGATAAAGTGTAAAATTTCAGGAATATCTCGTTTGAACAACCTTTATTTTCTTTGTTTCGTAACTAAGTGTTGGGCGCAACAAGAGTAATCATAAATTCATTTAACTAAGTGGGTTCTGACTTATCTACCATCTATTCCGTCAACAAACTCTCGCTTGCATAATTTCTAAGTAACTTAATATCATAATCACATATGGTGAAGTCATAAAAGATGATCACCAAGGGGAAATGTTTGAAAATTGTCCCAAAATGATCATGGTGTGCTTTAATAAACCTAGCTACCTTATACCCATTACTTGGGAATTCTAGGCCACGATCGAACGTGGCACTACATATTGGTGATTAATATAATATTTGTTAATTAAATATTAAATTCATAACCCATAAGTCCATTACCCAAAAAAACAATTATAAGGCCCATAGTATAGTACTTTGCGTGCTAAATATTATTTACAATATTATTTATTTCAAAGGATTAGATAATATAACGATGTATCTATACCAGCTTAATTATTTCAAACTCACGAAAAGGATAACAATGACATCTATATCTATCTATCTATATAATAAGAACTTTCCAAATAAACACTTCATGAAATCAAATTTTCTCTCCTCTCACGCTTTCATGTGGATTCGAACACACAGCCTATTAGACATAGATCTTTATAGTGCAAAGATTCTAACCAGTAAGACAAACTCTATTTGTTCACATTAATTTAAAAATTAACTAGTAAACTCTGTCTATAATATTAATTAATCTTTCCAAGGAAGTAATTTATTCATGTTTCCATTGCAATTTCAGGTTTCTTACAATACCATATTTATCCACGCTTTCATGGGATACCGCACACTAAAGAAATCCAAACAAACTGATAAAGTGCCACATGCATTGAACATTTAGAACATGTTCAACAACTATCTCATACAAACATTACCCGGACAACGGACCGGGTAAAAAACTAGTCATTGTTATTATGATTTTTCCTTTCAAGAGGATGTTTTCCCCTTCCTAATTCTTAAACCACACGCATCACCCATTCACCCAAGCAATCACTCATATTCTCATTGAATGCTTTCACCCCGGTGGTTTAGAGGTGCGAGGAAACGTGAAACCAAGAATTGGGACCTAACCAGACCAAGATTGGACCGGATCAAGACCGAACTGTATCCAATCCAATTTTTGATCTTTATATCCCAAAAATACCGAACTGGAACCGGATCAATTCGGGCCAATTTACCTGACCGGACCGTATAGCCACCCCTAATACCATGTAGTTTAGACAACAATTAATGTCGATGGTGGTGAGGGTGTGGTGTTGGTGGTTTTGCTTAAGATAACAACTCTGGAAGTTGGTCACTTTATGTTTTCTCCATCTGTTTTTGTTTGTTTGTTTGCTTGTTTGAAAGCCTGTTGATAGCAAAGGATAGATAGGTCTTTGTGTTTTTTGCTTTTCTTCTTGTTGCTGCAATTTTTGCAGTTTTGCGGACCAGTTTTCCTTTTGTAATATCTGCTGTAAAATTAATAAAGTTATATAGCGGTTTTTATAAAAAAATATTGACAGTCGTGTAAACTTGAACACATGAGTTCAAGAATAAATCAGACTCTAATGTTATGTAATAAACTAGTTGTTTCCAATAACTAGACTTATTGGGAGAGATCTATATATGCTCTCACTTTCTTATATTTGTAAATTAAGTTCATGCATGCCCGCAATGCAATAGCAGAGAACATACACATGAGGTGATTAAAGAAAATATTTTGGATGAGGATGTGTTTTACCGGCGAGAAAATCTAGATGAACAGAGTTGAATTTTTGCACCTTTTTGACTTCAAAACAAACGATTAACAAACACGGTCCACACCTCTTTGAACAAAGTTCAAACAAGGGTGTTCAATGTTCTTGATGATCTACGAGGCAAACTAAATTACATTAACTCTACTCCTATGGAGGTTCAGTGAGAGCTCCATAACTACAACTATGGCTAAATTTGCAGAGGAAAAGATAAAAGGATAAAAGTTGACATTGTGTTGTCTGGTGTGATTTTGGCGAGACCCTTTTCTGTCATCTTCACCTACTACTTATAGCCATCAGAAAGAACTGCCCCAAGAAACTGCTCTGCTGACGTGGAGTGACGGTTACCCTCTCAACTGCTATGACGGTTACCCTGATATTGGAATTGGGATCCTCTTCATTCTTGACCCCCTCCTATTGAGACCTCAACCTCTGCTCTTGGCATCTCCTCCGTAGTTTTGCTTATCCATAGAGTAAAAATGGCTAAGACATGAAGGAAGGAATACCACGTACCACATATGGGCGAGTATTTGAATCACATGAATTATAAATGACAAAAAATACTTCACCATTAGTAGAGTAAAGAGACCACGTGCTCACATGACCTCCTTGCCTTGGCCATACCATGGGGGTGTACGTTGGTGACCCCCTCACCATACCATTGGGGGCATCCCCCATGGGGTCATATGGATCACCCTACCACTATATCATCCTCATGGGAGCTGGCGTTGGTGACCCCCACCCCCCTGATCATACCATGGGGGTGCTATGTTGGTGGTCCCCAAACCACCTCATGGGGGTGCTCCTTGCCACCCTCATCATCTTCCATACTTAGCCACATTTTACCTCTGCCCACCGCCTTGCCACGTCCTGGGGGTGGTGGTATGATGCCCACCCCCCTTACCACGTCTTGGGATCCAAATTCGGCCATCACCCCCCTCACCATGTCATTGGGGGTGGCGGTGTGGTATGATGGTGGCCACCCCCCTTGGTACCTCCCGGGGGTGGTGGTATGATGCCCACCCCCTTACCATGTCCTGGGGTTGGCTCCCATACTCTCCTTGCCTTAGCCAAATTCGGCCATCACCCCCCTCACCATGTCATTGGGGGTGGCGTTACGATGCCCACCCCCCTCTGCGTGTCATGGGGGTGGCTCCCATACTTAGCCAAATTTGGAGATGCATGGCGCGCGTGGTGGCACGGAGTAATGAGCCCAAAAACCCAATCCTCATGGCTCACTCAACTGATTTAAACTGATATGATTAAGTTGGCCTTATAAAACCATTTAATTCCTCGTTTTTAACCAATGTGGTACAAGGTTAATTTTTATGGGTAAACAGGATGACTGTTAACTTTAACATCTGGGTATAGGATATGTGATGAATATTATTATCTCCACATTACCATTAGACCAATTTTTTTTAGATAAATTCAAGAATGTTGGTGCAAACTAATTGCCCAATCGCAACATTATAAGGAGATAAGATATGTGAGTTTGCTCCAACTTATATATGGAGAGCCAAGTCAACTTTTCCCTTTCCAATTTTACTGCTTAACAGGAGCACTGTATAAGCGATAAGAGCTGATTAACGAACACAAAATGCATGTCCCAATAAAATACACTTTTCAATAGCTCATCACATACCTATTAATAAAAAAAAAAGCACAAACACATTTTAGAACTAAACAGACTTGAAGTGGATCTTCTATTTCTATACGATATTACCAGATCCGTACAAACCCCAAACCGAACCAAAGTTCACCTTCAACGACCATTGAGCGCTCAATGCCCTCGAATCTCAAACTTAAAAATAGGATTAGTTAAGGATCTTGCCAACTTACACGACGACTTTGTTTCTTTTTCTAATGAAATTTCTTTCTTTTAGGATAACAGCGCAAAATTAATTAAGGATACAGCGCACAATTTGACTAACGCTGTGAATTAAATAGCATGGATCGATCTAGCACTTAAGTAATTATTAGTCCACTAAATTAATCAAGTAATTAAGCATGCATGTTCTTATACTTTTATGGGGGTATTAATCACGTTCGATATGTTAGTATACATCTCCTGAATGTTAATCACCTAAATTAATGAATATTTGAATACCGTCAGACAGACCATCTTATTAGCGTCGAATATAGAGAAAAATGGACAAGGTGTCCGCCTAATTCTAGATTGGAATTAGTCCGAATAGTAAGTTTGATTTGGATGTAATATGGGTTGAAATGGATGAACAACATCAACAAATTAATGTGTATTATTACCTATCCGCAGTAGCGTTGGGCGAGGCATGGTATCTACTTCCAATCCGCTCTGCCCCGCCACTTCCCGTTCTTAGCCCAATCTATATCAATGTTTTACGGTATCTTTTTCATATTTTTCCTATTTTGATATTTCTTCAATTAGTTAAACTTGATCTTTCAATTAGTTAGAATCAATTATCCATTCTATTATCACTATTTTCATTTATAAAATGTTTCTCCCTCGTTTTATCGTCAAAAAATAAAATTTTGCTTGTATTTTTTTTTTAAAATAACACACAAGAATGGTCAACCCGCCCCGACCCATAATAATGTGGAACGGAACATAGGTATTGAAGTAACCGCCCCTCCTACAACATTGCCATCAGTAGTTGTGCGGTGCATCTGACTTTTTTTGCAAAGAAAATTTTAGTTACTCGAAGGTAAATTTGGAAGAAATAACGAACAAAATTTAAATGCAAGCAGCATAGCACATGCAATTCAAGAAACCCCTTATCCATGGCTGTTTATGCACTCGACATAGTACATACCACCAAGTTTATTCCAGGATGATATAACTAAATACATATAAAATTAATTAATTCGAATCAATAATTATTATTTATCAAAAGGCGAGGTTTTTGTGTTTGTAATATTCTAGTGATTTTTTTTTTCTGTTGCAGGAAGGGATGGCAATGTGTCTGGTTTGAAGCGGATTGTACTAAACCTATCCCCATTCCCATCCCCATTTTCAATTATCAAATTCATATCCTCCCCATCCCCAGCATCTCCATCCCCTCGGGTTTCGGATACCCGAGGGTAATCCCCTCCCCGTACATCTGATTATGATTATAACTAAATTAACACACTCGAATTCAATAAAATATATAAGTATTGGGTTGAAACATCAAACCTAATCAATGATGAACCTAATAAAGAACCAGTGGTAATCTTAATTAGATCATCCAACTCTTATGAAGTTCCATAAACAAAAAACCAATAAATAATCCAACACCAAATTATTCATCTCAAAAACACCTCCTAAACAATAAAAATCTACACATAAAAGTCAAATTATCCTCCAAAGTTCTTCTTTCGTAGAGAAACAAAGTCTATTAATCATTATAAAAAAAAAGTATATTAATGATGAAAAAACATAAAAATTGCCACTTACAACTCCTACGTTACAGTAGTTATATTTTATAATATATGACATAAATAATGATGGGGTGAATATGGGTATGGGTATGGGCGGAGGCACTCAAATCCATCCCCGTCCCATAAATAATGATGGGGTGAATATGGGTATGGGTACGGGGCGGAGGCACTCAAATCCATCCCCGCTCCATACCCACAAGCTTCTTTGCGGGTATTACCCGTATCCGCCCCATACCCAATCAATGCGGGGATTCCCCTCGTTGACCGGATTGGGTAGGATCGAATAACCACGATTAGGGCTATAAATGCCATCCCTATATGTTGGTACTCCCCAGATTTAGTAGACTCCGTTGCCACAAAGTGACACGTAAGGTTGAGGTTTCTGGATAATAATAATTTTTTTTCCTTGGACCATAACAAAAAATATATATTAAGAATGTCTTTCCTTCCCTTATTATAATTTGTCGTGAAATTGTACTTTCTCCAACTAACCCTTTCTGTCCAGAGAAGAGAACATGTGTAGTACTACTATTGGATTGAGGATTAAAAAGGAGATGATCAAACACTCATGGCCAAGAAAAACTCGATAGAATTTGTGCATTTCGTCAATGCTCGAAAGTGGTCACACTTTCTCTAATTTAAAATAATTTCAACCACGCTCTTAAAGGGGTATCAATCCAGTTGAGTTTCTAATGAACTCATCTTTCCAAAATAAAAAATAAAAATTCAGTTGAGTTTAATTAATCTTTATTTCAATGGATTTTGTTCTATCGTATTTAGAGTAAATCTTCAGATATCACATATTTTTAGTAAAAGAATGTTATCATACCTCAAATTAATGAGATTTGAGTACACAGAATCCTTAATGAATGAATTTTAGGTCTCAATTCTTTGAATCTTAAAAACTAATTTCTAAGATGGAGCATGTAGTTTATTAGATGTATTTCCAAGAACTAGTAGAACCGTATGTTATTGTTGCTAATTAAATTGATCTTACAGTATAAAATTAAGAGAATTAGAATCTAAATTTTACTTATTAAGATTTAAAATATAATATCATTGCCCCCAAACTCCAGCCAATGCAAGATCTAAATATCAGTTTCTTACAAAAAAAAGTGTGATATCGGCCATATGACCGGTCCATTAATAGAATAGTAACAATTTGTTGCTAACTGTAATGCATGAGTTTATTCTTAAAAAAAAACCACATATGAGTATGTTAGTTATATTTGGTTAATACATGGGGTTATTTAGCTATTAATCCAATCTCATATAAATACCCAAAAATTGAACAAATTACTATTCTTCTATGAGTTCAACTTCTTTCCTTTATTTGGTCCCCTATCTTGCTTTATGAAAACTGGCTTCCCACCTTTGAATTAATCCTCGTGCAAAATAGAAGAAGAAAAAACTCATACATACTATAGCCGGAGACTCAAACATACTAGTGGTCAGTTTCATTTTTATAAATTATAAATGTGAAAGTCTACCTCTAAGTGAAGCTAGATGAAATTGTAGGTTCAAATAGTTTTTTTTTTTTTTTTGCAAGATAAGATTTATAATTGTGAAAGTCTACCTCATAAGTCATAAGTAATTTGATACAAGATTTATATGTTATTTTTCGTTTTTATTTTCTTCAAGGGAAGGCAAACGCGCCAATATATTTGATATTCATAGTCTTTAATTTTAATTTTATGTAGGCATGATCAAATATAATTGAAAGATATTTTCTGGACCAATTACACTATCTTTTATTCTTTTTATAAAATGATATCCATCATCAATATATTTCGGTAAAAAGTTTTTGGACTAATTATACTGGTTTTCACTATCCTATATCATAGTGATAAGACGGTGGTAGATGGTTGTAGATAATGAATCGTAGATGATGATTAATTTATTTCTACCACCATGTATACTACCTATCGATCTACATTATGAAATATTCTTACTAACATGGTATATTTCTATAATATCGTGGTAGAAATAAAGTATTAATTGATGCTCTATTTTTTTAAAAATATATAAAATAAATATCATTTTGTAAAGAGTTTATTAAAAAAGCATTAGAGCATGACTCATTAATAGCACACATATTTAAATGAAAGTATTATCCAACTGCAGGTCGCTTCCTTTTTTGCAGCAGCAAAGAAGATTACATGCATAAGAGTAGCTTAGTTAGCTTAGAAGTTGATAATTTTATCGCTTGCTTTCACTATAACCACACCCGATCGTTTTGTTATACTTAGCCTTCGATTGAGAGCGTAATTAGGCCGTGTCATGATAACAAATTGCAACTTCCATTCATCATCACATTCTTCGATTATCATTTGTATCCGAAGACCGAATGAGAGATCGAGAAGTAACAGTCGACATCAATGTGGAACAAAAATTTCTTACCCTCGTATGTCGGTCTCTCGATACAAAACTCTAACGGCCACCTTACATAACATAATAAGGCCAAGCCCTCACAATAAATAAAGTCCTACATAAGGACAGCCTCTAAAATTATTATTTTTTTGTTTGTTATTAAGCGGTAAACAAAGGACAAAAACAACAAGCTAAACCCTGCTGGACGGACAGGAGGCCCAATGCGCTGCCGATGCAATTGATAGCCAAACATTTGTGGTGGTCCTCCGATCGAGCACTCAATTAAGTAAGTGTGGTTGGAGGTATATTTGTATGTATGCATGCCCTAGCTAAGGGTATGGCCCAGAAACTTGGGCCTCAAAACATTCCCCCCACAGCAATGCAATAAAGGTGCGATCGAAAGTCTTTCTTTTTGTCCATGATCACAATGGCCGAAAGTTTTGACATCAGTATATTTGAGATATATCATAATCCCTATTTGGTATTATCAAATATGGACTTTTTTTTAAGAATAGTGTTATAAACGCGCTGCTACGAATCGGGAAATCTGCCGGAATCGATAAAACAAGAATACGAAAGCGAGAATCGAAAAACACAGACACATGATTTACGTGGTTCACTAACTCGATGTGTGTTAGCTACGTCCACGGGCGAGAGAGAGAGAGCCAGTTTCACTATATCGAGGAGATTACAGATTACAGAGGAGTATGAGAAGTATTTATAGTACTTCTCCATGTGGGGTCTAAACCTAATCCAATCTTAGCAAAGGAAACGGTTACAGACCAGGCCCAGAACCTGAACCCAAATAACATTGAGCCCATACACCGTGGGCCGGGGGCGTTGCCCCGGCACCCCCCACCGGGACGTTGCCCCTGGACCCCAACTCGCTGACCGGGCAGCGAGACCCCGCCGACTACCAGTCGTAGCGGCTGATAGTCCGATTCAAGTTACATCAACAAATAGAGAGATTTGATTTTGAAGTGTTACTCTGTGTATTCAGTATTACGAAGTTGAGATCAGACGTATATACCAAAATATCGTAACTTTACAATGGATTAAGTATAGCATGCTAACTTCTGGTCATTCCTCACGCAAGCCACCGTCCATTGCCAAGCTTGGCTTTCTACATTTTCCAGGTCACTCAGCCTTCCTTCTTATTGTCCTATTGCCTTGGCCCGAGGAAAACTCAGCTCAATATCGATTGATCGTTTTCATCCTTTTAAAGAGGCAAACTCGATCATCTTCTCGTGACCGACGTAGGTAAAGTAGTCGATTGTTATTGTCGGCGGAAGTTCCAACGCAAGAACTATTGAATTAAGTTTTTGAGGCTAAGCTTCTATGCTGAAATTATATGTTCATGTAAACTACTGTATTGTATCCTTCTCATAAAGTTTTTTTTTTTTTTTTTGTCTCACTATGCTCCATAAATGCATGCATCTTAACAAAACAGAAGCCAAATAATGGCAAGAGCTGGACAAACGGCCGCAAGAAAAATTGAAGAGAGTAGGGCAATGCGTAGTTTGTACCATTAGCAGAACTGGTGATGAGATCGACAGCACATTGATCAACCACTAAATAATTATGTTTTTGGACTCCTCCACTTCTTGTGGATCCACGGATCGATAGAACGATATTGGATGTGCCCGATAGGGTTGTCTATATTTGAATATCTAACTTACGAATTTGAAGTTCACATCAATCTACTCAGAAATATTTTAGATAGTTTATATTCATAAGATTAATTAATTTTTTATTATTATAAATGAGTAGTATTCTTTATTAATGTGACACTAAATGGGTTTCAAGAAATGGGAAGGAGAGGAAATGGGTATTAGAGGAAGGAGAATTTCTGAAGAAAAACAGATTGTAATTTGAATGGAAAGGAAAGAGTTTGGTATGACAGCACTAGCTCCTAAAATATCATGGAGGTTGGAAAGTTGCTGCGTATTGTGAATCATAGACCAAAGAGTAGAAGCTTTCCCATAAGTGGCGGGGAATACCATTGTTAGCAAAGTTTCAGCTGCAAATGTTTTTGGAAAACAAAATTAGATAAGATTAATTAATCTGCAAAATTCTCTCAACGACTCGAGCTAGTTTGTAATTAAATGGTTCTTAGTTATTTAAAACGTTCATGATATCGTCTGTTCGACTTCTCATTATGACTTTCGATATTAATTAATGTTTAGTGGTGTGCAACAGTTCGGTCCGCGTTGGAACCAAATTGATATTTAATGCTAAGTGGTGAGCTTCAACTCGGCGAGGAATAAATTGTCAAAGGAGACAAAACGATTTTTAGAATGTGTGTTGAATTAGTTTAGGTTTTTTTATTTTTTTAATTAATTGATTTGAGACATAAGATAATTAAATCTAAATTAGTAGTATTTAAGGGTAATGAGAGGTAATTGAGTCATTTCACAATCTCTTTAACAACCACTTAACAAATAATTGAATGAAAAGATAAATTCGTTAAGTTTTAATTTTTTTCCGGTAATTTACTTTTTAATTTTAAAAGAGTATGTTTGTACAAAAATTTAGTAAAATAGTACATTTATTAATTTAATTACAAAATACTATTAACCCTAGGTATCAAAATAGAATCCGACCCGATTAACCCGCTCGACTAACCCGACCCGCACCCCGAACTGACTAAAAGTTAATGACCCGCAACCCGCCCGACCCGCAACCTGAGCCCGACTGACCTGCAACCCGATTAAACTCATAACCGATTGACCCGAACCCGATTTTCCTGAACCCGACCAATCCATAACCCGCCCAATTGACCTGATTAATTACTATATTATATTTTATATAAAATTTTAAAATGAAGTTTGTTTGGTGTAAGACTAAGTAAAACTATTTTTTCATTTTATTAAGAAAATTTCAAAATGATATTGAGTTGAAATTATGTATTTTTTAATAAAAGAACGAAAAGAAAGAAATAAGGGAAAATCTTGTATTTTCATTTTTTTAAGAGAAAGAAGAGAGAAAACTTATCATAATGTTTACATATGATGGTGTACGGGTTTAATTAATTATCAATTTGATTATCACAATGTTTACATATGATGATTTAGGATGTAACATTTAGTGATTAAAATATTGTCTATACTCTACAACAAATCTTACTATAGTCTTATGGGCATTACTAATTTGATATAGTAGATTTGAGAAAATGTAAAGAGTTATCCTATATCAAATGCATATTATTTTATATTTAGATTGGAAACTTAATCTTACTCACTAATTCTCCCACCACATTTTCAATAAGGTAGGAAACTTCACCCTCTCATTTTGATATCTTCGTCCCAACTTTCCACTTCTCAAATGTTTCCCTCCAAACTTTTTATTCTTCTCATTTTGTTTCTCACTACAATTTGTCTCTACCAAAATAAAAATTTAATGAGGGAAAATTCTCCCCAATTCGACCCACCAACGTTTCAATTCCTTTATTATTAAACCTGATTTCCATCTCCCATAAACTGTTGTTTATAATATTAATGCCTTGTCTAGATTT